TTTTATTATTTGTGTTTCGTATTGTAGTTGATTTGAGTTGATGATTGATTAAAATTGAGATTGGTCGTAGCCACGTTTTCCCTTCCTCTTCTCGGCTTCTTCTCCTTCTTCTTCTCAGCTTCTTCCCCTTCCTCCTCCTCTTCTTCTTTCTCATTCTACATCATTTTGCATGGAAATTGTCAATAAAAGTGAATTTTTTTTTACCATTGTGTTTAGAGTTTTTTCCAAAAAAAATAAAAGCCTAAGAACTTGGAAAATCAATTCCAACCAAAACAACAATAAAAGGCTTTCCTCCAAAAGCTGGATCCATGGAAATCATGGCTATCCAACGGGGCCTGATGGTATCAAGAAACTTCAAATTATTCCCAAACCAATTACCTATTATCATTCATTATAGCTTATAGGTAACAACAATATTATACTTTTTTAATGTATTCGTCAGCAATTTCAAACTGAGTAATTGATAACCTTAGATGGGAGAAGTTCAATCCTAATTTCGAATTGTCATCGAGCATTCTATAATTGAGATTGCTCCTGACAACAAGGAGTATAGAACCCCGCATCCAATTTAATAAAAAGCTCCTTTTTATTACTTTTATAGTGCATGATTCATTTCATGGTTGAGCAATATGGTCATTATTTATCAGATATACTCAGGCAATTTCCCTTTAATAAGCCCAATTGTTGAGTTTCTGCCCTATAATTAGCATTTTCCATTGGTACTTTCAAACAGAAAATTGAAAAGTCCTACTGCAGTAGCAACATAGCTTTTTCTTTCAACGTAGTATATAAAGATCAAAAATTCCATGGGCAGATTTGGGTATGATCTAAATCAAATAATATATTTTTTTTCATTAATACTAGGAAATCATCGGCAATAAAAAATTAAGCCTTCTAACAGTTAATCTAAAGCCTTCTAATCAGTTGTTCACAAGGAATTGCCACTCCTCCTGTCCATTACTAGATCTACCAAAAGATCTAAAGCAACTGGAGATCCTTAGAAACCACACCACAACATGTTAGGATGTCATAAAAATAAATAAATAAATAACAAATTTTGGCTTTATAAAAACACCTTAAAGCATCTCACATATGATATGCTCCGTTCATCTCAAGACCCCAGTATTTCATTTCAACAATTTAAAAAATTTAACAAAACCCATTAAAAAATATACCTGTTAGAAATAAAAGAATTTCATATTTCCCCAATCCAAGATAGAAAATCTCAAGATCCTAATACCACAAAACCAGAAAATTACAGTGCTTTTTTTCTGAAATCGGAGATGTATACATACCCCATGCATGCAATGATTCGAACAATCCAAGCTGCAATAGATCCGAAGCGTAAAAGGGCTCCCACCATAAACATCGATTCCAGGAAGGTTTAGCAATTTTTTACAACGCCCTGCAAATTCACGAATCTTGATATTATATATAAATTATATTTGAATTATATACAAAAGAAAAAGAATTTACCTGAGAGAGAGAGGCATTTTCAATTCTTTCTCTCTCTAGGGTTTCGGCTTCGGAAATCGATCCCTTTCCTGAAAGGAAAAAACCTATCAGATAAGGTGAACTTTTTTTAACGCCTCTTTCTCTGGTTCAACTGACTGAAAAGAGGAATATAAAATGAGTAAAAAAAACACGGTAGTCCACCTACAAGACTCATACGAGTAGGACACGTCGGATGTTTCGGGATGGAAAATGAGGAGGGAAAGATTAAAATCCGATTATTATTATTATTATTATTATTATTATTATTATTTAGATTTTGATAAAAATCGATAAAATATGTGGTTAAAATTAATTGTTGATTTTTATTTTGATTAAAAACTGAATTTTAATTTCTACAAAACAAAAGTCCGTTGATGATGATTAAAATTAGATTTTTAATAGATTTCGATAAAAGCTAATTAAATGTGTCGTAAAAAAATTGTGTATTTTATGACATATATTATTAAAATTAATTGTTAACTTTGAATTAAATTAAAATATGGGGCTAATTTTGAAAATTTCATTTTCAATCACACTCTTTCGTGAAATAATTTTACATGTAAACTCATTTTTTTAACTACATATTCTCCAAATAAATCTCTATTCCAAAACACATTTTTTCCCAACGATAATCCTCAAAGGGTTAGCTTGTTCTATTTTTTGAAAAAATAGATTTTATAATAGTGATACTTTTGAAAAATTTGTAGTTATAAAAACAGGAAAAAAAAAGGTTTACATGCGAAATTATTTTATTAAAAGAATGCGTGATTAAATATGAATTTAAAAATAAATGAGTTTTTTTGGGGATGAAGTAAAAAAAAAAAAAAAGAAAATAAACAA